TGGTGACTTCATTGGCATTCATAAAATCCAGTCCAAGAATGCACTGAGAGCCAATGTCAGCTACAACCAATGTATGGGGATAGTTATGACCATAGATTTCAATTAAAAAATCAGCTTTGCCATAAATCGCCATAAGCCCACCGTTCGCTGTACTATATCTAGGAGCCACATATTTTAGTTCTGGTCGATTATTTCGTGGAATAGAATCGAAGGACTTCTTTGATAAGAAACTTATTGTAGCCCCAGTATCAATAAGGGCATTTACATTCACTGATTGTATGATACTCTTTATGTGAAGACCAGTTTCATTGAGGGTGCCAAAGGCTCTTTTATTTGCACGACTACCATGACCCGAACGAGCATGGTGCCACCTGTTGTTATGGTCATAGCGCTGATTTCTAAAACTGGCACTTCCATTTCCATTTGTCGCCCCTCTACTGGTGTTATAATTATTGGTATTACCTGGAGATTGGTTTTTATGCTCAGGTTGTTTTGTATTTACCACGCTCATCTTTCGTTGGTCACTTTTGAACTTCTCTAATGACGCGTTCATATCACTGATTTTCTTCTTCATATTTTGTAGCTCAACTAACTCAGGTGGTGTATCTACACTTCGGATTTTCCCTGGCTGAGTGTCACAGGCGGAACGGTGTGCCTCTAACTCTACGGCTAACCTTACAGCATCCTCAACATTTGTTGGTCTGGTTCTCTGAATCTGCCACACCATATCTCGATCGTCACAAAGCATCACAAAAGGCAAACTTTGCTAAAATTTGAAGTAATTCACTATCAGCAGATGGATATGACATTGTCACCAAACGCTTTACTGCTTCCCCAAGTTCGGGCAGACTTTCTTTTGGTTTTCTTTTCCGGGCCTTCAATTGGGCTCTATATAATTGACACTGATTTTGGGGTAAAAATCTGTCTTCTAAAGCACCGGTAACTTTTGAATAAATTAAACGATCTTCCACCTTTAACGACGTTAACACTTTCTGGGCACTGCCCTTTAAACTTGTGGCTAAATGTAAAGCCATCTCATTTTCACTCCAATTATTAAGTTGAGCACAAAGTTGAAAATGGCACCTGTAGTCCATGAAGGATGTACTACCCTCATGAGCTTGGGGCGTCCTCATAGGTTTACGGTACACACGCCCGGAGACGTCACCTCTAGTATTCGGTGTAGATGTTACACTAGGAACGAAATTATATTCACCAGAATTCGACCCAAGCGTAACGTTTGATTTGTTGTAACCACCCCCCGCACTCACACCTTGTTTTAGGCAAGTTTTCACATCAAACACCTCACTTTTATATAATTCCATTTCCTTAGACAGATTGTCAAATCAAGCAAAGTCACCACTGATTCCGCCTACCACGTACCCTGCCCCATTTGTATTCACTACTTGTTCACTATTAGACATATTATTCACAGAATTGGGCGATGTTTTTGTAGCTGCAATTTCGTCAATTCTCTTTCTTTGCAGTTCCAATGGTTCCACTACTGTTGATAACTGATGCAGTATAGTCGCTTCTAAGTTACTAGATGGCGCCTCTTTAGACGAAACAGTACGTGGAGGGTTTGATAATCCGGGGCTATCGTTTGGGGCACAGGCACTGGCTTCATATCGCTGGTTATCAGATGGATACAACACAGGGGTGGGGTCACACATATTTGTAAAGTCCAAGTCAAGTAAGGTATGTCTAGTCATGTCTGTCATTCAAGCACAGGGCGTTTCTCCAGAAACCACCGAATATTTTGTTTGAGAATTGAGATATCACTTATCCCACCTCTGCCACCAAGAACATCCTATATGTAGCGTGTAACTGGATTTATTAATCTGGGGTTGGGGTTTTGCTATACAGCCCCAGAATCACGCAAAAATCTCTCCGTTAACGGGAGCAAGTGTCAGCTCAAAAGTGACTATAATCTATCCCAATTTACTCAATCAAAGAAACAAGTGTTTAAAACTTTATATATAAAAATATCAATTATCTACATTCAAATACAACAATACACTTTATGAAAAATGGAGTTAATAAAACTAAATGGGCGCTGCTATGAGACACAAATTGCATAACATGAATCACATACCACAGTCCTATACACAAATTGAATTGGTCTAAAATAGGAACCACGAACCAAAGCACTGTCCTATTCACAAAGTGGCACAAAATCACAATCACGTATAATAAAAACAATCCACAATAGCCAAAAATATTTGGGGTGGCACACACGTTAAAAATACCACACAAGCACTAAATTATACTGAAACAACACAAATCACAAAGGATCATCCAGCAAATGCCGAATAAAAGAATTAACACCGGTAAGAATAATCACAAAGGACAAAGGTAGCTGATCACGGTTGTTGTGGCCTACATGAAGAATAACGGTAGTAGGTTTGGGATCATGGTCGTATGATTCCAGGATTGACTGTACGTGATGGATTTGGGCACAGGGGTAAGAATGTATTTCAGTGTCTGTACTGGTTTTGGTAATTCGATTCAGGTTAGATGATCCAATAATTAAGGTAGATTTCTTTAGAGCAGGTAGATTCCATAATGATTTGTCCTTGGTTTGGTAATAATAGGGTTTGGTAGCGGATATAATGGTTGTCGACGGGGTGATTGGTACTGGTTTGGTAGTTGTTCAAATTGTAGCATTGCGAACGGATTGGGATCTGATTCAAGGGGGGAAGGTCTGGATACACGTCTCGACTTCAATGAAGACTGAGGGACTAGGCGTAGGTGAACTTCGGGCTCGTTTACGGGTTTGGTTCGGTAGAGTGGTGACTCTAGATGGTGCAGGTGTAGTGTCCATTTCAGTTGGTAGAGATATGGTTACTCTGGTTTTGGTTTCGTTGATAGTCTGGTAGAATTTGGTGATTACAGCTTGAGTGAGGCGTTTCCGATAGGAGCTACGGGCCCATGACAGGGCATGAGAAACGATGCGGTCGACGGCAGGTGATGATAAAGACTTGGTACGAATGGTGGTCAGCTTCTCTTGAAGTGTGGTTTGGTAATGGTCGATCAGGACCTGCGTAACCTTAGAGAGCCATGTCCGATTGAGGGATCTAATATTCGCGTCGACAGCTGATGTTTTCATTGCTGGACGGATAAAACTTTCCAACTTAGAGACTTTGCTGTTTAAGGGTAAAGATTGCCAAATGATGGACGAACACCTTCACAAAGGGTTCTTCCTCCTTATGAGTGGGGACTGGTTGGCGTCGGTGGGCTGGTAGTCGTTTCTGTTGTTGGTCAGCTCGGTGGTTATTTCTGGATTGGTAGGCTGTTTTGTAGGTATGTCGGCGATGGGGTCGGATATAACTGGGCGGGCTGGTTGATGGTCGGCGATTGGTAGGTGGTAGAGGGCGATGGAAAACAGGGCCGTTGTAGGGTACGTGATGTTGGTTTGGTGGACGGTTAGTGTTTCTATGTCTGGCTTCTTGCCAGTGGTTGTTGTAGTTGGGGAGCATAATGAAAATAACTTGAGGTTAGAAAGGGAATGTACAGCGAATGTAACAGGAGAAAACTGTATATGCTAGCGTGAAAGTGTGGGGATCAAATTATGCAAATAAGTCAAACTGGGTTTGGGGATATATAAAGTAAGATTTAAGTTTAATTATAGTATGTATTAGAGGTTAATAATAATACAGATAGTAATAGTGTTTGACTGTAGTATGTAGTATTATTCAGTAATGATACGGATATTGATACTGTTTGACTGTGAAATGAAATGAAATGAATAGAGTTTTACGTCCTATTTTTCTGCACCATGTGGGCTAATGAAGACGGGCAACGCCATGCAGGGTGCGATGAGGGAAATTTTGCCAGGACAGCGGCATTAGCCTGCTCTTTTTCGATTTCCAACTGTCGAGGGATCTTTAACGTGCACAGCCTGTAGCACATACTGTTTGACTGTAGTGTGTAGTGAGTCGTATGCAATGTCAGAATACATTAACCATTTCTTACTATCTCTAGCATGTCAACATCGTGCCTACCTTAAAGACACAACCGATTTTGTCAGTTACATAAAAAATCTTCGATTTCCTTCTTATGCTAATTTAATTTCTATCGACGTTTCTTCTATGTATACCAATAACACTGCTGGTCTAACGGCAGTCTGTAAGGCCTTTAATAGGAACCTAGCTCCAAACAGACCCGACGATGCAATTCTACAGGTTTTAGAAATTTGTTTCAGTCGAAACGATTTCACACTTAATGGTAAAACATATTTACAAACTTCAGGGACAGCTATGGGATTGGTTTGGACTTATTCTATCGAACAGTTTTAGAAATTCTTTGAAATTCTCAACTACCACCATCCTTCCATAGACTTTCTCATTACCACTGTCTTTAAGGAAGATTCCATAGAAGAAACAAGGAAACTGGATATTAAAGTGTATTTCAAAGAAACTGATACTCATCAACTGTTGCACAAGAGTACCTTTTCTGATATAATTAAGTCAGAAGTTTTACGATTTCACCGAATTTGCACAAGATCTGCTGGTTTCAATCAAACCTGTACGGTTGTTTTCTCAAAACTGAAAGAGTGTGGGTACTCGAAACGATTTTTACGAAACATAAAAAATTCCAATTTAGCACAGATAGCAACTAAAAACAGACGTTATGCCGAAGTACCTTCAGGTTTAAGAAGTGCTCCATGTTTGTCCAGTAGATGCAAAACATGTCCCTTTATATCAGAAACTCATTATTTTGTAAGCAACTCTACGAATAAAAGGTACCCGATCCAGGAAGTACCTCCAGGTTTAAGGAATGCTCCATGTATGTCCAGTAGATGCAAAACATGTCCCTTTATATCATTATTTTGTAAGCAACTCTACGAATAAACAAATAACAATACGTAGGAGAAACTAGGAATAATTTACGAACTCGTTTTAATGCTCACAGGTCGGATATCAAATTAAAAATAGCGATGCCATTGTAATACGCCCATATTTGTAATGGCAGCTAATTTGTCTCGGAGGTTGACAAGAGTTATCAGTAAATAAATGAGTGATTACAAACAGTCACATCAAGTTTCGTCAAAATCCATCAAGAAACCAGCTCTCTATCGTGTCCACAAACAATTTTGGACATTGTGGACAAACAGACAGGGGCGACGGCTACATACGCCCACATTAATGAGTGAGCGTGTAAAAAAAAGACAAGCCTGTTTCTAATCATTTCAACCTCGACGACCATTCAATAGACGATTTCACCCTAATCCCAAAATGATCGCATAGAAATTGACTTGCCCGAAGATGAAACTACCAAATTCCGTCAATCTAGGGAAGCCCATTGGATTAAGACATTGAATACAGCAAGACCGTAATGTAGGCATAGCACCCGTTCAAAACAACCAGCAATCGAGCAAGCACGATAGTTCATGCCCACTATAATAACCTTCAAGAGAAATTCTCCCATGTCGTTTCGTGTCGATATCAAAAGTGATCGGGGTGCGATACAGCAATAGGGGCATAGTGGCATGACTTAGACGATTGATTTAACATAGTATGGGGAAAATTGCTGCGAGTAATCAAGATACATTACTAAGTCATATTGCAACGTTTCGTGTCGATATCGTTATCGGGGTACGATGCAGCAATAGGGGGAACCGTGCTATGACTTTGGCGATTGATTTAACATAGTATACGGTATCTGATCGTTTTGAAAATTTCTGTGAGTAATCAAGACACATTACTAAGTCATATTGCCACGTTTCGTGACGATATTGCGATAGGGGTGCGATGCAGCAACAGGGGCACAGAGGGACGACTTCAGGGATTGATTAAGCATATTACGGCGTGTGTGATAGGTCTGAAAATTGCTGTCAGTATTCAGAATGGATTACTATATTACTATAGCATTGTAAATTTACAAATCAATGCGTAAGTGTCAAACGGTAAAGTGCTGTGACAATTTTGAGAACGCAAACGTAAATGATTGCAGCTACAGCCGTTACACCGATTTGAAAAATTGACAATTTGGTCGAAATGACTCGAAACTGAATGATTTAGCAAAGCATGTACGACTAAACAAAAGAGTTAAGTCCGCCTGCCATTTCGCCATCATCGGGAAAAATTTCAATCAGTACATCACTTTGAAAATTAATATAAGATGGAAGGAAACGTTAGAACTGTCTGAAATTAAATTTGCTGAGAATATTCAGGACATATATTAATACCCCTCTGCCAAGTTTCAAGTCAATAACTCAACAGGAAAGGAAAGGGGTCGAAACTGCTACAGCGCAGGCATTTCTTGCATTAAATTAAATATATTACATTCGAATGTTCACATGTTAGATGTTCCTGGATCGGGTACCTTTTATTCGTAGAGTTGCTTAAAATAATAATTAGTTTCTGATGTTTTGCATCTACTGGACAAGCCTAGAGGTACTTCAGCATAAAGCCTGTTTAAGCTGCTATCTGTGCTAAGGTGGAATTTTTTATGTTTCGTAAAAATCGTTTGCAACCCAGGCTCTTTAAGTTTTTGAGAAAACAATCGCACAGGCTTTGTTGAAATCAGAACATCTTGTGCAAATTCGGTGAAATCGTAAAACTTGTCACTTAATTATACCAGGAAGGGTATGTTTTGGGTGAAAGGTGCTTTTGTTGATGAGTATCAGTTTCTTTGAAATACACTTTAATATCCAGTTTATTTGTTTCTGCTATGGAATCTCCCTTAAAGACAGTGGTATCGAGAAAGTCTAAGCTTTGGTAACTCACGATTGCGGTTAGTTTGATGGAAGGATGGTGGTATTTGAGAATTTCAAAGAATTCCCAAAATTGTTCGATAGAATAAGTCCAAACCATAAAAATGTCATCCAAAAAGCGTCCGTAAAAAAGTGGACGGGCAACACCTCACGTTCAACTCTGCAATGAAAAGGTTTGCGTAAGAAGGGGCGAATCGTTTGCCCATAGCTATCCCTGAAGTTTGTAAATATATTTTACCATTAAATGTGAAAACGTTTCGACTGAGACTAATCTCTAAAACCTGTAGAATTTCATCGTCGGGTCTGTTTAGATCTGGGTTTCTATTAAAAGCTTTACCAGCTAAACCAGCAGTGTTATCGGTATTGGTATACATAGAAGAAACGTCGATAGAAATTTAAAAAAGCATTAGAGGTGACTCGAAGATTTTTTATTTTATTGACAAAATCGGTTGTGTCTTTGAGGTAGGCGCGATGTTGACATGCTAGAGGTAGTTAGAAATGATCAATGTAATCTGACACTGCATACGAATCACTACCACAGTCAGATAAAATCGGGTGGTCTAAAGGGATTATATTCGAGATTTACCCTTCCTTGGTTGGATTCTTATGGATTTGGGGCAAAGTGTACAAATGTCTCTCGCGACAATCAGGTTTGGCAGACAGATAGTCATATTTTTTCTGTTGAGATAACTAGTTTTGACTAAAATCGGCAAGAATATTGTTAACCATGTTAGCAGTTTCTTTGAAAATTGGTTTCGGTAAAATGACATAATGTTTAGGATTATTATTCAGTTGATTTTCTGCTTCTGAAACGTAATCTTCTCTACTTAGAATGACACAACACGAACCTATGTCACTCTTCTTTATAACAATGCTATCGTCTTTTTTAAGTAAGTTTAATGCTTCACGTTCCACTCGTGTGAGATTAGGCTTTTCGTGTGTTACGAAAGGTTCGCTGTTTGGCTATTCATACTCGCAAATGCTTTCAATATTTCAGGATGGATGGCGGCCTGAGGGGGTGTCCGTGTGGATATAGGAATAAACATTGTTTTTGCACCACGTGGGGGGTGGTTTCGGAAAAAATAATTGCAGCTAAGATTTCGTTGAAATCGTTCAAATTTGGTCGGAGATAATTTAAGTTGGCTATCTTCGGTGTCGGAATAAACTTAAGTCTACGGTCTAAGATTGAATACTGAAGGGGTGTGAGAATTTTGCACCTCAAATTAACTACAGTTTGGCCTAGCGGTGGCCTCTCAGTATTTTTATCCTCAGTAATTAGTTTAAAGACTTACTCGATGCTCGAAGCTGGTGTATCCAAAACAAAAAAAACTGTTTGCTGTTTCTGGAGACCAATGAAGATTATGTCTAGAAACAGCAAACAGTATTTATTTGTTTTGGATACACCAGCTTCAAGCAAATATTGAATCACTCAATCTTAGACCGTGGACTTAAGTTTATTCCCACATCAACTTAAATTATCTCCGATCATTCATTGAACGATTTCAACGAAATCTTAGCTGCACATATTTTTTTCGAAACCACCCCCACGTGGTGCTAGAATAATGTTTATTCCTTAATGCACGTGGACACCCCCCCCCCCCCCCCCCCAGTGTTTAACTTACTTAAGAAAGACGATAGCATTGTTATTAAAAAGAGTGACAAAGGTTCATGTTGTGTCATTCTGAATAGGGAGGATTACGAAATCGTTTTTCAAAGAAACTGCTAATATGATTAACTTGCCGATTTAGTCAAAACAAGTTATCTCAAACAGAAACAATACGACTATCTGTCTGCCAAACATGATTGTCGCGGGAGACATTTGTACACTTTGCCTAAAATCCATAAGAATCCAACCAAGGAGTGGTTTATCTCGAATAAAATCCCTAAAGGCCGCCCGATTATATCTGGCTGTGGTAGTGAGTCATATGCAGTGTCAGAAACATTGATCATTTCTTACTACCTCTAGCATGTCAACATCGCGCCTACCTTAAAGACACAACCGATTTTGTCAATAAAATAAAAAAATCTCCGAGTTCCCTCTAATGCTATTTTAATTTCTATCGACGTTTCTTCTATGTATACCTATATCGATAACACTACTGGTTTAACGGCAGTTCGTAAAGCTTTTAATAGAAACCCAGATCCAAAGAGACCCGACGATGCAATTCTACAGCTTTTAGAGATTTGTCTTAGTCGAAACGATTTCACATTTAATGGTAAACATATTTACAAACTTCAGGGACAGCAATGGGCAAACGTATTAATTAGCCCCTACGTGCGCAAACCTTTTCATGCATGCCAGAGTGGGAACGTGAGGTGTTGCCCCTCTGTCCATTTGACCCACTTTTTTACGGACGCTTTTTGGATGACATTTTTATGGTTTGGACTTATTCTATCGAACAGTTTTGGGAATTCTTTGAAATTCACAACAACCAACATCCTTCCATCAAACTAACCGTAAACGTGAGTAACAAAAGCATTGACTTTCTCGATACCACAGTTTTTAAGGGAGATTCCAAAGCAGAAACAAATCAACTGGATATGAATGTGTTTTTCAAAAAAACAGATACTCACCAACTCTTGCACAAAAGCTCCTTTCACCCAAAACATACCTTTCCTGGTATAATTAAGTCACAAGTTTTACGATTTCATCGAATTCGTACAATATCTTCTGATTTCAACCAAGCCTGTACGATTGTTTTCTCAAAACTGAAAGAGCGTGGGTACTCTAAACGATTTTTACGAAACATAAAAAATTCCACCTTAGCACAGATAGCAGCTAAAAACAGACTTTATGCCGAAGTACCTCCAGGTTTAAGAAGTGCTCCATGTTTGTCCAGTAGATGCAAAACATGTCCCTTTATATCAGAAACTCATTATTTTGTAAGCAACTCTACGAATAAAAGGTACCCGATCCAGGAACATCTAACATGTGAACATTCGAATGTAATATATTTAATTTCATGCAAGAAATGCCCCAAACAATATGAAGGAGAAACTAAGAATAATTTACGAACTCGCTTTAATGCTCATAGGTCAGACACCAAATTAAAGAAAGACAAGCCTGTTTCTAATCATTTCAACCTCGACGACCATTCAATAGACGATCTCACCCTAATCCCAATTGAGCGTATAGAAATTGACTTGCCCGAAGATGAAACTACCAAATTCCGTCAATCTAGGGAAGCCCATTGGATTGAGACATTGAATACAGCAAGACCTATAGAACTAAATATTCATCATAATGTAGGCATAGCACCCTTTGTTGTCTCGTTTAATACAACCAACAATCGAGCAAGCAAGATAGTTCATGCCCACTATAAGAGCCTTCAGGAGAAATCCCCCATGTCTATAAGCAGAAAATGATAGTTGCATATTAAAAGAATAAGAACTTAAATGATAATATTGTTCATAGTGAACTAAAAACAATCAGTACATAACAGATACTATAATTCTCGCCCATCGGGCGAGGTATTTTTTCTAATTTCAGATCAGAATAAGAACAGAAGAAAACCCAATATCAAAACCCTTAATCCTAATTTCTAAATAAAGTGTCTGCTCCACTCTAGGCCTGTACATTTGGGAGAATCAAACCCTCCCTTCCCCGAATTCTAAATAAAGTGTCTGCTCCACCCAAGGCCTGTACATTTGGGAGAATCAAGCCCTCCCTTCCCCGAAATCCATTATCTGTTGATATTTTTATTTGATTATTTTTTGTTCTAATGGAATTGAAAACAGAGAAATATTTTTATCCCAATTCGTATTCTTGATAGCGATCGAGTTGGTACTCATAATCTATAGACAATTTAATGTCTGATTTATTTGATGTGATGACGAATAGTTGTTCTTTATTTGACTTTTTTAATCACGCTTTTATAATCGTTTTTATCTATGATACCTTTCTCTAGAAGTCTTTTTAATATGCAATTTACTTCATTATATTGTCTGTGTGATCGATGTCCTTCCTTCATTGCCGCTAATATTACTCGTAATCTATTAAGTAGTTCCTCGTTGTCGGATAAAAACGTTATACCTTGTCCAGATGCCACCATATCATCGAATTCGTCTATTTCTTGTATGATTGGATAATCTTCTGCATAATTATCTTCAAATTCAACATCTGCTCCACCAGCAATAACTTTTTTATATATATATGTTTCAACTGCTTTCGATCTTCTTGTTTCGGGTCCCGACTTTCTTATTGCTTGTAGAAATTTTGAGTATGCTAGTAAATCCTTGTAATCGGCAATGCCAATATACCCGCCATTCATTAAATCTATTAATCCTTTTGTTAATGTAAATATTAAGTCATTTGTATCAATTTTGAATAAAGGGGAATTTGCCCTAAATTTTATTCTAAATCCATTAAACAATAACCCCTCATCATCAATGATTGGTGTAATACTCTTTGGTAAATCTGCTTTAGGGTTTGAAAAAAGACTATTAATATCATCTAATGTCCTAATTATAATACCACCATATTGATTTGGTTCTGTGTGATCTTTATGAGGTTCTATAGGAGGTCTATATTCTAAAGCTAATTTCTTTTTAATATCCTCTTGAGATTTTAATATTGGTTGAAATAGAGTTTGTAGATTTTCTGTTAATCCAAGTTGTTCTGATTTGTTTTTTTCAACTTGGGACTTTATTTTATTCTTAGCTTTGATATATTCTTTATTTCTTTTTAAAATAGTATTCCAATTATCCATTTTTAAAAAAATAAAATTTAACAAATGTCTGTCATAACTCTTTCACCTGTAGGTTTTCTAGTATTAACAAATAGATATCCATGATCATCTGGGTTTTTCCATTGAGCTTTACAAACCTTTTTAAATGCATCTCTGTGATTAATCGACTGAATGATTTGAGATAAATAAATAATAAAAAACAATTTGCATTTTTTCTAATGAACATAGAATCCATCCCGTAAAAGATTGGGATTGGTATATGCAGTGACAGTTGTGATGTCTTCCCTTCGTGAAGAATTCTTGTTGAACAGCTTGATTTCTTTGCGCTACGCAGTCGTCAAACAATATTAAGTTCTTTCGATTGCTATCAATATTAGACAAGTCTAGATCATTAACATATTCCGTAAGAAAAACTTTTATATCCGTTGGATTCTTTGATTTAATGTAGTTATCTATGATATCTTTTATTTCCACTTCTTCTTCGTTTTCTTCGTAATATTGAAATATGTCTTGAACATCTTTCTTTGGTAAATATTTTAAAGCTTTGAGAAATTGATAATACGATTGCTCTAGTGCTGTTGTGTAGATATACAAAGGATCGAAATCTAAAAGGTTTGGTGTTGTCAACATGTTAAAAGTGAGATGAGTTTTCCCAGAACCGGAACTACCGCATATATACATGAGCATAGGGTTATTAGGAAATATTTCTGAATGATTAAATTTTTTGCCCATTTTTTATTATTATACTTTATTTTACTCCTTCTCCTTTATACTTTGAAAGAAATAATCCTTCTCCAGTGTGTATATTTTTTAAAAAATATTCCATTACCCTTATGTTTGACTTTGACTTCTCCTGTGTCAATACTATCTACTAATTTATTTAATCCTTGTTTAACAGTTTTCTTGGTTTCTTCCCCAAATCTTTTTCCAAATTCTTTTATTGTACCTATCATATCTCCCACTCCTGAACCTCGTGCTTCCTTTTCCATTATTAAATTATGTCTGCGTTCTTCAGCGGCTTAAGCGTCAGCTGTTTTCTTTGCACTGGCAGCTTTGACTGCGGCAGATATTCCACCAGTTGCTGCACCCGCCGCTGCAATACCACCAAATATTAAAGGTAGTAGGAAAGGTAAAAATCCACCTTCTTTTGCGTTCGCGTCAATTCTTTCTTAGTCTATATCGTCTCTGACTTTACAATATTTGTATTTATCAATAAGTTTTTTAGTTATGCTGATTTTTTTACCATTGAAAGTTATTACAGTTGGGGGAGGTGTTGAAACAGCTTCTATTATTTTCATAACTAAAGTTTCTGGTTTCATTTTTAAGGGTGTATTTTGTACTCAATTCTTATCATTCTTCTATCTGCTATTTAAATTAAATGTTTTGCTTCTTCCAATAATAAACAATACCCGGTCACATCTTGTGTTTTTTCAATATGAATATTTATGTTGACTCCTGTTTTGAAAAGATCTTCTTGGTGAGCTGATAGATCAAAACAGAAGATTGGATGATTAAGTGCAAAATCTACATATTCAAACTGAGGTAGATTTCCAAATAATTCACACATGTTTTTATAGTTTCTATACAATTCATTATAATCCTTTGTGGTTGGATTAATTGTTAAAGGTTGGTTAATCTTACTTGAACTTTATGGTTCATTGCCACTCTGAAGACATTGTTATTCGTTTGAGAATCTGGTAAGTTCTTGAAACCAACCATTAAATATCTTGCTGGTTTAATAGTGTTAGTGATTGGCCACGTGGTGGATTCTCCAGTTAAAGTCATGCTACCTACCGTATTACGATGAAGAAAAGCTATTTCAATATCTTTAGTTAATGAGTTGAATATTCTCGTTTCTACCTCAATTGATGGTGTTATTACGGGTACGAAAAGTTGAGAGATTCGTTATTTCTAATTTTGCATTTGAAGCATTCTCTCCAAAGAATATCTTATCATCGTTGATTTCTCTTTGTAGATGAATTTTATATGGTAACCCTATGGAAACCTTTCTGTGTTCCAACAGACCGAATAAGGGATATAATTTCCAATATATGTAATTACCCCACCTATTATTCTCAACAACATTATTATACTGAAGTACTCGTTTTTCGAATCCATCGTGCTACTCTTTCTATTGTGTTTCGAGCAACAACTCCCACTCTAGCTAATCAGCATCATTTCGTACCGGTTCTTTTAAAACACTTCCATCGCCAACATCGGGTATCCAACCTGAGACTGAATGGAAATCTTTAGGATATAAAACTGTTTTCAACATTGTGTCGAATTCCCCAGGGTGTTTAATTGTTTCTATCGGATTTGAACCTGCTTCAAAAACCAAGAAATTGTTTTCTAACGTTGTATTAGTTAGTGGTACACGATTTTCATTGGGAGTTCCATTTTTAATTTTGAAATCGCATCTGAAATAAGCATTGGAAAGAAGCAACCAATTTGATAATGAATTTATTTCGAAGGTAATTCTACCACCATCATTCAATTGGGATTTAGAACCAACAGTTATATGATAATATAATCCTCTTTTTTCTCGTTAAATGAATAACGAATCGGATCACTTTTAATGTTTAAAATTTGAGTAGAAAATTGTGGTCTGTTTTTTTTTTCCAAAAAAGAGTTATCTCCTCTTCTAGAAGTTTCTAGACTAAAAATAACGTTATTTAAAACGAGGCTATTAAAAAACAGGATGTTAAGCGAAACAAAGAAGTTATTTTATATAAAGGTATTTTGGTGTAAGAATTTATGAAATGTAGGGTGTTTAGGTTTTTTTGGGGGGCTTTTCAATATGGTTGCACTTTTCGCCCTTGGAATGAAATGGAATTGGGGAAAGTGCGACCATATTGAAAGGCCTTATACTACTCCTGGTATATAATTAACACTTAAATCGTAACATTGTAATTTTAAACACATTCTTTGTAATCTAGGACTTAATTGATTTAACCTTTTCTTAAATATAGCTTCTAATGCCTTATGATCAGTTTCAACATAAATAGATTGACCATAAAAATATTGATGAAATCTAATACATCCAAATACAATACTTAAAAGCTCTTTTTCGATTTGTGCATATCTTTTTTCTGAATCTCTTAATGTCCTTGAAGCATATGCAATAGGTTTCCAAGTATCACCATTCTTTTGCTGTAGACAACACCCTAAACCTTTAATTGAAGCATCACATGAAATTTTAATTGGCTTATTCAAATCAAAGTGTTGTAATACTGGTTCAGAAGACAAAATGTCTTTAACAATATTTAGACAATTCTCATGTATGCTAGACCACTCAAATATAACATCTTTTTCAGATAATTTTCTAAGAGGTTCAATAATCGAAGATAAATTTGGAATGTAATTACCTAAATAATTAACCATACCTAAAATTCTTTGCAATTCCTTGTTACACTCTGGTGCTGGCAAATCTTTAATAGCCTTAATAGGATGTATACCCTGCTTGGATATAATATCACCCATAAAAGTTACACTATCAGTTAAAATCATACATTTATCCTTATTAAATTTCAAGTTAAGTTGTTCAGCTCTTTGGAATACTTTGTGCAAAGTTTCATCATAAATTTCCTTAGTTTGTGCATAAATTAACATATCATCCTGAACAGTTATTAAATTAGGAGTATCCTCAAAATGTTGACGAACAATTCTATGAAATATTTCATGAGCAACATTTACACCAAAAGGTAATCTCAAATATTGATACCTGCCATATGGACTAATAAATGTAGTCAAATCAGCAGCTTTATCAGTTATGCAACATTGCCAAAAACCCTGGGACATATCTAATTTACTAAAAAAATTGACTTTCTTTAAATTTGGACATAATTTCGGCTCTAGTTGGCAACATATAATGTTTTATTTGTAAATATTTATTCAAATCAGTCGGATCTAAACACATCCTAAGTTTCTTATTGTCTTTTTTAATGATCACCATACTGTTAACAAATTCTGTTGGTTCTGTTACTTTCCTTATTACTTACATATTTCTCCATTCTGCTTAATTCTTCTTTCAGCCTTTCATACAATTTAAATGGTACATTTCTAGGAATGGATGAACGACACCAATAACTTCTTCTTTTAACTTCATATCTTTTCCTGGTAACTTTCCCAAACTACCATCAATAGTTTTGGATACTTCTTAATCCAGTCTTCTTTGATCAAATTGTCACCATTAGATCAATTACTTGACTCTACAACCTGAACCCTCTGTATTAGATTCATTCTTTCACTTGTCTTTAACCCGATAATTGGTTGAGCATGCTTATTGGTTACTATGGTAAAACCAATTTTATAATGTTTACCTTTAAATTCTACATTCAACACACATCTTCCACAATTTTCTATAGGCATACTGTTACAGCTTCCTAGATTCACTTTTGAATTGCTGATTTTAATACTTTTAGATTTTTGCATGGCCTTGAAATCTTTGAAGGGAAGACAATTAGTCTGTGCACCCGTGTCAATTTTGAATGGAATTAATAAATCTTCAACAATCATTGGAATAACCCACTCATTCTCTTGACTAGTTTTACTTATCATGTCTATTGCAAAATTTTCTTCATCTTGAAAACATCTAGAATCAGCATTGTTACGAACTTCTAAAACTTTCTTCATTTCTCTCTCACCACTATTATACTTGGTCTATGTCTAGTTGGTTGATATTGTTGATTCCGACTAAAACAAACTTTTGCAAAGTGCCCTACTTTTTTACAATTATGACATGTTTTACCATATGCCATACATTGTCTCCTCTTGTGCCACTCATCACATTTTTTACATTTTATAAAATCATTGTCAGTATTAGATCTAGGTCTACTATTACCACTCTTAAAATTGTTACCATCTCGTCTTCTATAATTTCCACCATTTTTGGATTTCTGATTCTGAGCGATAGCATTCATCTCTTCTTTATTCTGTTCTTTTACCAATTCATGGTTTCTTGCCATTTCTATAGCAGTATTCAATGTAACATGAGACTTCATCTGCAACTTCTCACTCAAGTGTTCATCATTTAAACCCCATATAAATTTGTCTCTAATTTGGTCTTCTTTATTGTTTCCATAATCACATGTTTCAGCCAATTTAAATAAACTTCTAGAAAAACTTCAACACTTTCTCCTTCTTTTTGTTTACGATCATGGAATATAGCCCTTTCTCTTGGTATGAAGAGGTCTTCAAATTTATCCATTACATCATCATAGACATTTTCTTCATCTTCACCAAACGAAAATCTTTCATATATAGATTCCGCCTCATCACCCATACAATAAATCAAATTATTTATCTGAACTTCAGCATCTTCTTTATGACGTTTAGCAGCAATTCGGTAGCGTCCATACCTTTTCTTCCATTCCGGCCATTCATTCGGCTGAAGGAAATTAAATTGTTTGCGCAGTTCAATTTCACCATATTCACATCCAATTAACTTAACTTTATGGATCTTTTACTTTTCTTCAATTTTAAGAAGTATTTAAGTCAGCTTTGAGCTTCCACTTCTGACACCATATTATTTATTAATATATTTTTATAAAGAAGCAATCATAAAGCGTGCTAAGCCATCAATTAGTTTATTAAAAACTGCCAACAATCATTATATATTACGACAATACATTTTACATTACGTCATAATGACATCATGATACCATAACAGACACGATAGAGAGCTGGTTTCTTGATGGATCTTGACGAAACTTGGTGTGAGTGTTAGTAATCACCCAAGGATGAACCCTATTGAAAATCAAACGAATCGAAAAATATTTACTGTGAGTAATTGCCCTTGTTCTTGAATTGTTTGTGGACACGATAGAGAGCTGGTTTCTTGATGGATTTTGACGAGACTTGGTGTGAGTGTTTGTAACATATAGCCGTCGCCCCTGTCTGTATGTCTGTAAATATATAACTGTCTTTACACAAAGATTTGCCACTCAAAAGATTCAATTCTATATGGATTAAATGAAACTTGACATGTTAAATTAATCCCACTTGAATAAAAAAAAAAGCTGTAAAAAACCCATAAAATATGAAAATTTCACTCTCTGAAACATTCATTTACTGATAACTATTGTCAACCTCCCGGACAAAAAAGCTGCGTATGTGGGCGTATTACGATGGCATCGCTATTTTTATCCTATAACTTTAAAACCTTTTACTTTTTTTTTTAAAGCTAGTTGTTTTATTCTTCTTTTCTTTTCGTCGTTTATTCTAACTCTTTTTTGCGACAGAACTAGCTTGCGCTCCGTAGGAAATAAGTGATTTGTTGTTTGAAACAAAGCTAGCTAATTTTGGAATTAGAGAAGATAGTGCTGAAAAGAAACCGTTGCCTGAATAATCAGTAGTTTCGAATTTTTCTCGTGTTTAAATCTTGCTGTGAGGGTGGATTTCATATATATAAATTAGGTGTGGGAGCTTTCATATTGGATGTCTGAATGCGCCCAATATGAAAGGGTTTATTCATGATGGAAATTAGGTGTGGGACTTTTCATATTGGGTGTATTTAGGCCTAAAATGTGAATTTGAGCTTTTTTTTATGTCATTTTGACAAGAGGAACGCGAAAAGAGGGCTTTTTTAAGGCCTAAATGTGCCTAATATTAAAGGTCATATACTACTCATATTGCTTCGACACAGGCATAAATACTCGCACAAAAAATTGTCTGATTAAGTTGCTATTCCTCTTGGAGGGCCTGGATGAGTTCTTATCGATTGACTCTAGGGCTATGATGCCAGATAACGCAGAGTTGTTCTATGGGGGACATTGTCGGGGGATAATGCAGGCCACGAGCAACACGTTGGTATTTTGGGCACTGTCATTTGGATGGATAAGTTTTAAATTAACTATATATTTCTCTTAGAATTTAATTCGGCCTTATACATATATATATATATTAAAGTTTAATGTATACGATGACAATGCAGTTTTGAATATATTTTTTGTTTGGTTAGTAATAGTCATCATTCATCTAAATTCTTGATATTTTGGTATAATAATAATAATCCCCTGAGATACCAAAAATACGAAATAACCTGTTTTCAAAGCATTAAAGTAAATGGTTTCGATCCTACAAAGGTCCAGGTCAAAAAATCGAAAATATGCTTCTAAACCCTGTTCCTTTTTTAAACTACAAAGTTGAAACAACTGAGCTTTTCAAACAAACTGGCTAAAGAGATGAGGAAATTGAGTGCAAATGCCCTTTTTGATCAAATGTAATCTATGCTCCTACCCAAAAAAATAAAGATACGTTATTTACCCCGGATATGCCACGCCCACATCAACTTTTTCGACATAGTTGATATCATATTCAAATTGTAAAGTTGTGTTCCAAATGCCAAGCTTCTACATCATATAGGTCATAAGATATACCTTCATCAAGCTCAAAGAAGAAAGGTGGTGAAGAAGATGTGAAAGTTTTACAAAGCAGCGTGGGTTGAAAGATACCCGTAGGGGGGACCAAGCATTATGATATGGGGTGCAATCGGCATCAATCAGAAACTTGAACCTGAATATCGGCCCGGCACAGGTCAGTGAGTAGCAAAATATCAGAGTAATGTCACGACCCTCACTCAGATTGGTTTTAAACCCAATAAAACAGTTGTGGGATAACAATCCAGATCCAACCGCTTTCAAGGTAGGGTATGTAGATGACAAGTTAACGTTCGATTCCAGCGGATGCTGATATCGCAAACTAGGTAGTTGTTGGTAGTCGTAGTAGTTGGTAGTTGGATTGGTACAAGCGGAAGTATCGGATATATGTCTTGTATGCTTATGTCCTTGAAGGTCGCTGCAAGAAAAACGAAGGCGGCAGTGAAGAATTTGGTTTAGACGGGTGCCAAAGTAATAGTGTGAAATTTTATAATCATTAATTTTGAGTTTATTTTTGAAAATTGAAATAGAGGGCGAGTTTTTGATTGAAGATGGTAGGTTATTCCAGAATTTGATAGAAGATGATATGAACGATTTAGAAAATATATCGATTTTTGCAAAAGTACTCTGAAAGATTATCACTGTTTCTAAGGTTATAAGGTGTGTTGGTGTATTGTACAAGGTTCGAAAGAAAAGCGGGAGTTTGATTATTTAATATTTTGAACATCAATATAAGTTTATGCCCCCACCGTCTCTCTTGCAAGGGTATAAATCCTGTACAAGGTTCGAAAGAAAAGCGGGAGTTTGACTATTTAATATTTTGAACATCAATATAAGTTTATGCCTCCACCGTCTCTCTTGCAAGGGTATAAATCCTGTTTCTTCATATAATTTCTGATGGCTGGTACCTTTCACAGCACTGCATATAGTTCTGAGTGCATCTAACTGAACGTTTTCTAATTTTTTGGTTAATTCTGCAGTGCTCCCATCCCAGATAACGTCACAATAGTCGAAATGCGGTAAAATGTATGAAGTGTATATTGTTTGGAGAGATTTTCTTGAAAGTCGGTACTTTAACGTTCGAAGGCAGTTCACAAGTTTCCTAGTTTTTGTTACAATTCCATGAATATGAATATCCCATTTACAATTTATTTGAAAAATTAAACCTAAATGTTTATGACAACTTACTTCTTTAATTGGAATATCGTCTAATTTCAAAGTAGGTCGTAAAGGCTCTTTTTTAGTAATTAAAGTAAATGCATAATCTATTGTTTAATTAAACTAGATTGGTTGACTTACAATTATAATCTATTGTCTAATTAAACTTAATGTGTTAAATAATAATCATAATATATTGTTGAATTAAACTAAATGGGTCAATTAATAATTATAATGTATTGTTTAATTAAACTAAATAGATTTATTTATAATTACAATCTATTATTTAAGTGAACTATTTAGGTCCATTTATCATAATATATTGTTTAATTAAACTGAATTGGTTGAGTAATAATCATAATTTGCAATCATTATCTATTGTTTAGTTAAACTTAATGGGCTGATCAATAATCATAATCTATTGTTGAATTAAACTAAATGGGTTTGTTAATAATAAACATAATGTATTGTTGAATTAAACTAGATAGGTTTGTTAATAATAATCATAATTGTTTTGCAAATGTTTTTTTTTTTTTTGCAGTTACGTTACGTTTGTTTTGCAATTTTTTTTTTTTTTTTTGTGAACACAATTGAGACTACAGTTTTCAACTGATGAAACTTGATGTGGTAATGTATATTGATGGGATCTTGGTCAAGATCGAATTTGACGATTTTTCGATGAATATAGTTTCATTTCGGGGAAGGGAGGGTTTGATTCTCCCAAATGTACAGGCCTAGGGTGGAGCAGACACTTTATTTAGAAATTAGGATAAAGGGTCTTGATATTGGGTTTTCTTCTGTTCTTATTATGATCTGAAATTAGAAAAAATAAGAGAAGTATAGTATCTGTTATGTACTGATTGTTTTTAGTTTACTATGAACAATATTATCATTAAAGTTCTTATTTTCTGAATATGCAACTATCATTTTCTGCTTATAGACATGGGGGAATTTTTCTTGAGGGCTCTTATAGTGGGCATGAACTATCTTGCTTGCTCGATTGCTGGTTGTATTAATCGGGACAACAAAGGGTGCTATGCCTACATTATGATGAATATTTAGTCCTATAGGTCTTGCTGTGTTCAATGTCTCAATCCAATGGGCTTCCCTAGATTGACGGAAATTGGTAGTTTCATCTTCGGGCAAGTCAATTTCTATACGCTCAATGGGGATTAGGGTGAGATCGTCTATTCGTCGAGATTGAAATGATTAGAAACAGGTTTGTCTTTCTTTAATTTGATGTCTAACATATAAAGCGAGTTCGTAAATTATTCTTAGTTTCTCCTACATATTGTTTGGGGCATTTCTTGCATGAAATTAAATATATTACATTCGAATGTTCACATGTTAGATGTTCCTGGATCGGGTACCTTTTATTCGTAGAGTTGCTTACAAAATAATGAGTTTCTGATATAAAGGGACATGTTTTGCATCTACTGGACAAACATGGAGCACTTCTTAAACCTGGAGGTACTTCGGCATAAAGTCTGTTTTTAGCTGCTATCTGTGCTAAGGTGGAATTTTTTATGTTTCGTAAAAATCGTTTAGAGTATCCACGCTCTTTCAGTTTTGAGAAAACAATCGTACAGGCTTGGTTGAAATCAGAAGATCTTGTACAAATTCGATGAAATCGTAAAACTTGTGACTTAATTATACCAGAAAAGGTATGATTTACGTGAAAGGAGCCCCTGGGCAACCATGCACGCAAACACACTCCTCCTCATTGACTTCGTCAGGCGGCGGATAACGTCATCAGGAATCCTGTTCCATAAGTTCAATAGAGTCTGTTCAAGTTCCTGTCGGATCACTGGAGGCTGACGATCAAGATGATCCCAGAGATGTTCAATGGGGTTCATGTCTGGAGAACAAGGTGGTCAGGGCAATACTTCGACGTTGGTATTGTTCAGATAGTCTTGAACAATTCTGGCGGTATAAGGCCTTGCGTTGTCTTGTAAAATTAATCCTCTTGGCCGTTGTTGAATAAAAGGCACTACAACAGGTCTCAACACTTCATCAATATATCGCTGAGCATTCAGATTCCCTCGGATGGTAACCAGCCGTGTCTTATCTGGCCACAAATGCCACCCCATACCATGACGCCTCCACCTCCAAACGGGTGAACTTCTGTGGATTATCAAATTGCTGATGGTGGTCTGGGAGCAGTTGAATGTTCTAGCTATCTGTCGCTGACGAGCCTCCATATTTGCCATACCGATCACTCTATCTCTACCAGAAAAGGTATGTTTTGGGTGAAAGGAGGTCTTGTGCAAGAGTTGATGAGTATCAGTTTCTTTGAAATACACTTTAATATCCAGTTTATTTGTTTCTGCTATGGAATCTCCCTTAAAGACTGTTGTATCGATAAAGTCTATGCTTGGTGGTAGTTGGGAATTTCAAAGAATTCCCAAAACTGTTCGATAGAATAAGCCCAAACCATAAAAATGTCATCCAAAAAGCGTCCGTAAAAAAGTGGGTCAAATGGACAGAGGGGCAACACCTCACGTTCCCACTCTGCCATGAAAAGGTTTGCGTACAAAGTGGCGAATCGTTTGCCCATTGCTGTCCCTGAAGTTTGTAAATATGTTTTACCATTAAATGTGAAATCGTTTCGACTAAGACAAATCTCTAAAAGCTGTAGAATTGCATCGTCGGGTCTGTTTGGATCTGGGTTTCTATTAAAAGCTTTACGAACTGCCGTTAAACCATTAGTGTTATCGATATTGGTATACATAAAAGAAACGTCGATAGAAATTAAAATAGCATTAGAGGGAACTCGAAGATTTTTTATTTTATTGACAAAATCGGTTGTGTCTTTAAGGTAGGCGCGATGTTGACATGCTAGATTTAGTAAGAAATGATCAATGTATTCTGACACTGCATATGACTCACTACAAAGGCCAGATATAATCGGGCGGCCTTTAGTGATTTTATTCGAGATAAACGACTCCTTGGTTGGATTCTTATGGATTTTAGGTAAAGTGTACAAATGTCTCTCGCGACAATCAGGTTAGGGAGACAGATAGTCATATTGTTTCTGTTTGAGATAACTAGTTTTGACTAAATCGGCAAGAATATTGTTAATCATGTTAGCAGTTTCTTTGAAAATTGGTTTCGGTAAAATGGCATAATGTTTAGGATTATTCAGTTGATTCTCTGCTTCTGAAACGTAATCCTCCCTATTCAGAATGACACAACATGAACCTTTGTCACTTTTTTTAATAACAATGCTATCGTCTTTCTTAAGTAAGTTTAACGTTTCACGTTCCACTCGTGTGAGATTAGGCTTTTCGTGTGTTATGGAAAGGTTCACTGTTTGGCTATTCATACTCGCAAATGCTTTCAATATTTCAGGATGGATGGCGGCCTGAGGGGGTGTCCACGTGGATTTAGGAATAAACATTGTTCTAGCACCACGTGGGGGGTGGTTTCGAAAAAAATATGAGCAGCTAAGATTTCGTTGAAATTGTTCAATGTATGGTCGGAGATAATTCAAGTTAGCTATGTTTGGTGTGGGAATAAACTTAAGTCCATGGTCCATGGTTGAATGCTGAAGGGGTGTGAGAATTTTGCGGCTCAAGTTAACTACAGTTTGGCCTAGCGGTGGCCTCTCAGTATTTTTATCCACAGTAATTACTTTAAAGACTTACTCGATGCTTGAAGCTGGTGTATTAAAAGCAAATAAATGCTGTTTGCTTGTTTCTGGAGACCAATGAAGATTATCAACTGGTTCGAATTCTTCTTCATAGGGTGGTAAGATTGTTGCGCTGTTGATACTGGACTCCATCATCATGTTGTTGAGATTGCTGAGGTTCTGTTGTGCTTTCTTCTTTTATTTGAAATGGGTATACATGTGAAGAGGATCTTGCAGTTTGGGAAGGTTTTGTTGGCTGTGGCGATTAATTTCTGGGCTTGGTTAAAGGAGATCTTTGGTAGCTGATAACGGTTGTTGAGGCCTACATGAAGAATAATGGTAGTAGGTTTGGGATCATGGTCGTATGAAGGGGAAGACGAGTCTGAAAGTGAAAAGAGAAGGGGAGTGCACTCTCTACGAGAGCTTTTACCTATGTCTGCTGGAATAGGAGTAGGTGAACTTCGGGCTCGTTTAGGGGTTTGGTTCGGCAGCGTGGTGGCTCTAGATGGCGCAGGTGTAGTGTCCATTTCAGTTGGTAGAGATATGGTTACTCTGGTTTTTGTTTCGTTGATTGTTTGGTAGAATTTGGTGATTACAGCTTGAGTGAGACGTTTCCCATAGGAGCGACGGGCCCAGGACAGGGCATGAGAAACGATGCGGTCGACGGCAGGTGATGATAAAAACTTGGTACGAATGGTGGTCAGCTTCTCTTGAAGTGTGGTTTGGTAATGGTCGATCAGGACCTGCGTAACCTTAGAGAGCCATGTCCGATTGAGGGATCTAATATTCGCGTCGACAGCTGATGATTTCATTGCTGGACTCAGAGACTTTGCGTTTGAAGGTAAACGCTGGTTGGCCTTGTTGTTGAAGGGTAAGGATTGCCAAATGATGGAGGCACTGCAAAACTTCGAAGAACACCTTCACAAAGGGTTCTTCCTCCTTATGAGTGGGGACTGGTTGGTGTCGGTGGGTTGGGAGTCGTTTCTGTTGTTGGTCGATGGTTACCTCTTGATTGGTAGGCTGTGTTGTAGGTAGGTCGGCGATGGGGCGGGATATAGCTGGATGGGTTGGTTGGTGGTCGGCGATTGGTATGTGGTAGAGGTCGATGGAAGACAGGGCCGTTGTAAGGTACGTGGTTTGGTTGACGATTAGTGTTTCTATGTCTGGTTTCTTGCCAGTGGTTGTTGTAGTTGGGGAGCATAATGAAAATAACTTGATGTGGTGCTGTATTTTGATGAGCTGTATTTTGATGAGATTTTTTTTCATGAAAGGTTTTTGATTTATTGTCCTTGACTTAGATAAAATGCTTCAAACACATTAGAGCCTACAGATTTCATGTGATTTTTATGATGAATGAAATGAAATGAATGGATTTCAGTCTTAATATTTTTTCCCTTGATATTAGAGCTGTGTGATTTAATAATTTGAAAAATTTGGGTTATTGATATTGATTTTAAAAACTTTTGTGGAATTACTCAACATAAATAACTAGAAGTAAATATATATCATTGAATTCAAACTAATAAAATTTTTTTAATATGAGAAAATTTTGTACTTAGTCACTTTAGTCATTACTGACAGCTGCTAGTGGGCGTATGTCACCTTGCCTGCCAAGCTATCTTTTGCATTTTTCAAGATTTAAGGTCAAACGATTAGGACAAAAGTACAAAATTAAGATTTCTTGATATTCATCCGTTTTTATTTGGTCATTCTTAAAAATTATGAATAGTTCAGTCTCGACCAAATTTTCGTGAAATTATTACAAAGTAATGAAGTGACGGATTTGACTGGTGGGGCATTTTATCATTCATTGCTTAAAGATGGGTTTCCTTATTTTTTAGTGTCAAATTAAGCAAAGTATTGGATTAATTGGTGTTCTAATGAATTTTCATTTATTCTTAATCATATCATTATGTTCTTATTGCATGTAATTAAGATTTTTAACCGAACATAAATGTACAAGTATGTACAGTCTGGATAAACAAACAAAGACTTTTTGACCTTTCTTGATCGGTCACTCATTGGAATTCTGCTGGTAATTTTCTTCTAATTTAGCTAATTATGAATTAATTATGGACATGTGAGACAAACTAGTATTTTTACAAGTCATTAGAACACTACTTTCTATTCATATATGTTTCATAAATGAAAATAAGGGAACCCATCTTTAAAAATAAAATGCAAGGAATTTCTTTTCCTATTCCTATAGAAATTTTTGAGATTGGTCAAAAAAGTTAAAGTACTTGAATTGTAATTTCATCTTCAACATCAACAGGATTATAATCTTGTGCCTTAAGAATTGTATCTCAATTTATAAGTCCAGAAGACATCGAAGAAAGTCGATGATTTACACACACTAAATTTAGAATATAAACGATGTTTTGTGAATATGAGGAGGTACTAGGAAATATCACACATGGGCCGAATCAAGAAATAAGTTTGTGAGAAATTTATTCTGTGACCAATATGTGTGACAAAATTAATGCTTTTCTTCAGAAAATTTTCTTGCATACATAATTAGAATGGGAAATTCAGATCGTATTTAACCAATTAATTTGTTTCTGATCAAAAATAAATACAAAAAGAAGCGACACAATTAATTGTGAGTGATCTTTTTTTTACCTATGTCCGACCTTCTATAAAGTCATTGATGAAATGAGTTATGCTATGTAAAAAATCGTGTATAATAGCAATAATATAAGAATTCTGTTTTTTAGATGTCATCTGATGAAGAATGGAAATTTGCGCGATCTAAACTATGGATAAGCTATTTTGAAGATTCTGGAACTCTTCCACCACCATTTAATATTATACCTAGCCCAAAGATACTTTATTACCTCTTGTTATGGCTAAAGAAGACAGTATTATCTTGTTCACCAAGACAGAAAAGAAACAGATGGCAAAGCATTAAGGTAGGCTCAATTGAAGAGTATCTCAAGTTGTTTTGTTTTCATTTTCAAAAAAATCTAAAGAAAATTGAAAGTAATAGGCATTCTTCAATATCTATAGAATTTTTTTTTAATCTTTAAAAACATCGAAGAGAATGTGTGTAGGGCACGCCTTTGATATGTATTTGGGACATTCCAATTCTTTGTTTATTGCCTGTGGTGTCTGCAATTCCCAAAAGAGTTTGGAAATGACATTATACTACAATAACGGAATAATATAATAACCCCTTATAAGAAGGTAGGCATTTCTTTATAACTAAAAAATTATATTATATTTCTTAGTTTTAACGAAATTGAAGAGTTGTGTGTTATATTTGTGCATATCAGAGCGCTATAATACAAATCTTTAATTTCCTAAATCATGATATCATTTGGGTAAATCAAGTTTGTCAAGTAATTAACTAAATGATTAGAGATTTGATTTGGCACTTGTAATGTTGGTGGAAGCGAATTGATTCGTGGCGATGGCACGGGGTTGAGTGGTTTTCGTACAAACGCATACGTATCTTCTACACGAATGTGCATTCTAGTGAATCCCGTTTGAAGGAAACGTTTGACCAGAAATGAAAAGGGAAAAAATATCAAACCAGATACAAGCAATATATCACACCCTATGATGTATGAAGCTAGAACATCCTAGAATCCCTAATATTCCGTCCGCCAAGTCTCCACATCTAAGTGTAAATCAACAGAGCAATTGTAGAGCTATATATTCTGTGTTCAATTCCTGAGAGTTTTGATATTTTGATATACTTAAAACTTTGTTTTAAAGTAAATATTTTAACCAAATTATTTACAAATTATGTTTTGTGACACAGATTTAATAAACAAACAAACATGTTTAGCGTAAATTCATATTCATTTTTAAGTCTTTTTTCTAGGATTTGTCCCCATTGGCAATCTGGTTTAAAATACTAGTAAAATGGCGAATCTATCGTACTGAGAGTTGTGATCTTAGTCCCAAACATCCAGGCATTTTTCAAGAGTTGTAACTCAAAAAAAATCCACACAGCACATGAAATTTTTTTTTTTGTAGTCGCTGTTTATGTTACAAATTTCCATTTTGCTCCGGTTGACGGTTTTTTTTCGCATTTTTATATTTGATTCTGTAATATTTTTTTTACCTTTTCTTCCTGAACCAGACAACTGTTGTTAAAAGTTGTCAATCAGTTATGATTTATTGTCTGGTAGGCCTTTTTGATATATTTATTTTTATGCTTCCTTGTCTATCACCACCTTTGTCTCGATGAAACATAAAATAACATTATATATTATTTTACATGTAAATTAAAGGTTATCCTATGGCTACGGCTTTTATGCCACGAGTGCTCAACACCATAATCTGAGATAAGGTTGGGCCCTTCTTGTAAGTCGACTCTGTTCGAAACAATGGGATAATATGATCAACAAACAGCGGGGTGGACAGGAGAGGATTCCACTGGTTATCGTTAATGGCAACTTGATAGCCCAATTCTCCGTCCGACAGTCTTGCCTCTTCTCAAACAGCCACATGGTTTCATTTAACTGCATAAAAGTGGTCCCAAAGCTAAAAGTTTCTTAAAGCAGAAAGCAAAATTAAATCAAATTTTTGTTTGTAAAAATTTTAAAAATCGACTTAAATCATATCAAAAAAATTAAAATTCCAGAAACGAAACAAATATCGAATTGCAATGTAATTGGGAAATTCTTCATGATTAATTTTAATTTAAAAGAAAATTTGTCCAATGTTTTTTGCAGATTCAAAACAATCAAATCTTACCAAATTTAAGAAAAAATGTAATGTGTTTGTATTCAGTCTAGAAATACAGTGCTTCAAATATGTAAATTTCTTAATGATTTTATATTCCAGAAAGTTATGAAGAAAATTAATGAAAAGGAAATACGATACCAAGTGAGTTATTTTTGCTTACTTCTGGAAAATTATT